CTGAAAAGATTTGACAGAATGTTCAACATACTGATCAGTGCATAATATGGGGGGGGGGAGATAAAGGATTTCCCTTGTCAAATATGGGGTATACCATGTTTTGGTCCCACTTTAAGGGAACTCTAACTTTGGATGTAATTAGGATTAAATGATTTGGTAAGGATTGAGGCGTATAAATTAAGCAATTCTAATAACAGATCTCTGAGCAAACTTAAAATTTTAAGTATTAAGATAGGGCTACTGGATTCTGGCAGGGAAACTCACTGTAATCTACAAAATATGAAAAGACTATCTCGAGAAATTATTTAGGGAAATTTTTCAGGATGACCAAAAAGAGATGACAATGTCTACATAAAAAGAGTTCACAGGACCCTGACATGGGAACACTGAGAATTTAAGGCTTGTAGATACAGTAGGGTCAAGACATCACCCTTGTGACATCATTGGTCCCTCTTTGAGCAGGAAGGATGAACAGCAAAAAGTTCCAACAATTCTACAAGGAGTAAATCTAGCAAACTTTACAAAAACAGCAATGATATATGCCAAGAGATAGCAATGAAGATTGCAGTAGATTTCTTTCTTTTCTTTTCTCTTTTTAGTTTTTTGTTGAGGGCAATTGGGGTTAAGTGACTCGTCCAGTCACACAGCTAATGAGTGTTATATGTCTGAGGCTGAATTTGAACTGGGGTCCTCCTGACTCCAGGGCCAGTGCTCTATCCACTGTACCACCTAGCTGCCCTATGGTAGATTTCTTAAGAAAGATTAGGAATGATTGGAGAAATGAGAATTTAACAGATATAATATTAAGAAGCATTAGCAGCAAGCATGTACTTATCTCTCCAGCAAAATTTAGCTTGCCACATGAAAACAAGGGGAGGTCATTTATGAAACATTGAGACTTCGAAAAACTCTTAGAGAGACATTTGCATTTCAAAGAAATTTTGGAGACAGGCCTTCTGGTCCCAAAGATAAGTACTTAAAATGATCCATACTTTTCAAATCAAGATTAAGCAATAACTAATTAAATACAAAAACCCTTAGAATATTACATTGCCTAAGTCACTAAACATTTCAGAAACATGTAAAATAAAACTTTTTTTTTTAATAAAGAGGAAGGCAAGAATTAAAGAAATCTATGTAGTTAATAACATAATGCATAGGAATTTAGTTTTAATTTGTTAATAATAATAATATTATAGTGATAATGCAGAATAGTAGAAGAAAATTTAACTGAATAATAGTACTGCTAATTGGACTAACATTTTAAATAAAAGAAAAAAAATTACAGAATGGATTAAAAGAGTTCAAATCCGGCCGCAGACACATAACACTCACCAGCTGTGTGACTCTGGGCAAGTCACTTAACCCCAATTGCCTCATATATAAAAAAGCAAAAACAAACAAAACAAAAAGCCAACCATGTTATTTACATGAAAACATATTTGCTGAAAACATACTTACAGAAAACATTTAACCCTTTGAATTTAGATAGCTTTAACCTAGTGGCAGAAGGTCAGCTTTGGCGGTAGGAAGAGCTGAGTTTAAGCTCCTGGCTCTGACACACACTGTCTGCCTGACTCTGGACAAGTCATCTAACCTCTAAATGCCTCTGCATCACAAAGAAGGTCCAGGTAAATATAAAAAAAGTAGAACTTCTACATACTACCTTTATGAGTCATAGTGAAATAAAATTAGTAGTAGTCACTCAACCTATCTTAGCTTCAGTGCTTTTATTAGTAAAATGGAGGTAACAGCCCCTACCTCATAGGGTTGTTGAGAAGATCAAATGAGGTGAAGGTATGTAAAATGTTTTGTAAACCTTAAAGTAAGTTATTGTTATTGTGGTAAATGACAATACAATGAATCAAAGGGGGGGGGCCAGGTAAACTCATATGGAAACTAAAAAGTGATCTACTAAGTAATGCATGAAGGAGAGAGGAAATTATAAAAATAATACAATACCAAAGACAATGATTCTACATTTTAAAATCTATGGGATGCAGCCAAAACAATACTTAGAGGTAAATTCATAGTGCTAAATGCCTGTATTAATAAGAAAGAGGAACTTAGTAAGAGAAATTTGCATTGGAATTAAAAGATGCTAAAAACAGATTGGGGAAATAATGATTCATAGTGTTAAATGCCTATATTAATAAGAAAGAGAATCTTAGCAAGATAAGTGTGTACTGGAATTAAAAGATGCTAAAAATAAATTGTGGAAATAAAGGTAGAAAAGGAACAAAGCCCGACACCAACAGAAAGCAGAGATAAATAACCAAAATGCTGAAATTAATATAATGGAAGATGAGAAAACAATTGAAATGTCACAAGAGCTGTTCTTTGAAAAGGCCTACAGAACTGATAAACAATTAGCAGATGTAATCTTTAAAAAAAAGAGAGCCCAAGTTAAATTTTGAAATGAGAAATGGAAGGTCACAGTGAGGATGAAAGAAGGGATGATTTTTAACAAAAAAGATTAAATGCCAATTTTATGTTTTGAGGCAGCTAGGTGGTTCTGGGTCCAAAGTCAGGAAGACCTGCATTTAAACCCAGCCTTAGACACTTACTAGCTGTGTGGCCCTGGGTAAGTCACTTAAACTTGTTTGCCTCAATTTCCTTGATTGTTAAGTAGGGATAATGATAGCACCTACCTCCTAGAGTAGTCATGGGATCAAGTGAAATAATGTTTGTGAAGCACTTAGCACAGTCCTGGTACATAGAAGGTACTTAATAAACATTTTGTTTCCTCCTTCCAATAAATCAATCAGCAGATCAATATAAAAAAGATAAACCAGATAGGCCTTTAGAGAGCTCCCCTGCAAAAAGGTGATCAGATGGATTTGCAAATGAATTCTTTTTTTTTTTTTTTTGGCTAGGCAAAGGGGTTAAGTGACTTGCCCAAGGTCACACAGCTAGTAAGAGTTAAGTGTCTGAGATTGGATTTGAACTCAGGTCCTCCTGACTCCAGGGCTGGTGCTCTAACCACTGTGCAACCTAACTGCCCTTCTGCAAATGAATTCTACCAAATTTTTAAAGCCCAAAGCATTCCTTACAAGACAAAGATTTTTTTTAAACAGAGAAAAATGTTGGACTAACCAGTTCCTTTTATGAAGAAAATAGTATTTTAATTTCTAAAATGGGTGGGATGACATAGATAAAAAATTATAGGCCAATATCATTAATGAATATCAATGCAAAATCTTTAAACAAAATATTCATGAATAATGTATATATTAAAAACATGCATTATGATCAGATGGGATTTATATAATGTAAGGATGTAAGGATGTTTTAATGTAAGGATGATTTAATATCAGGAAACCACTCAACATATATCAACAATAAAGATTACATAATTATGTCATGAGATGTTAATAGAGCTTTAGATAAAATGCAGCATTAGTTTATGTTAAAAACACTAGGATAGGAGCAGCTAGGTGGCCCAGTGGACAAAGCGCTGGCCCTGAAGTCAGGATAACTTAAGTTCAAATCCAGCCTCAGACATTTACTAGCTGTATGAGTCTGGGCAAGTCACTTAACCCTGATTGCCTCAAAAACAAAATCAAAAAAACAACCCAAACACTAGGATATAGGAATGGAAAGATTTTTCCTTAGTATGGCAAAAATCTATTTGAACTCATGAACTAATATCATGTATGATGGAGAGACTACTAAAAAGAAGCATGAGGCATGATCGTCTACTTTATATTTTGACACTTGTATTTAATGCCTTAAAAGGTTAGTAATAAAGCATAAAAGATGATAAATTATAGGACTAAGCATTGATACTAAAAAAAGTTTAAAATTTGGAGAATAGGAAAGCAAATGGAATAGCACTACAGAACCCAACACATAGAAAGTAAACATCAGAGATGAGATTTGAACCCAGGTCTTCTCTTTTTTTGTATGTTTGCTAGGCAATGGGGGGGTTAAGTGACTTGCTTAGGGTTACACAGCTAATTGAGTGTCAAGTGTCTGAGGTTGGATTCGAACTTGGGCCTTCCTGACTCCAGGGCCAGTACTCTATCCACTATGCCACCTAGCTGCCCCAAACCCAGGTCTTCTTAAGTCAAGAGTTAATGCTCTAGTTTTTTTTGTGTGTGTGTGTGTGTGAGGCAATTAGGGTTAAGTGACTTGCCCAGAGTCACACAGCTAGTGAGTATTATGTGTCTGAGGCCAGATTTTAACGCAGGTCCTCCTGACTCTGGGGCCAGTGCTCTATCCACTGTGCCACCTAGCTGCCCCTTTTTTGTTTGTTTGTTTGTTTTTAAGGCAGTTGGGGTTAAGTGACTTGCCCAGGGTCACACAGCTAGTAAGTGTCAAGTGTTTGGTCTGAGGCCGGATTTGAACTCAGGTCTTCCTGACTTCAGGGCTGGTGCTCTATCCATAGAGCAGGTAACTTAGAAGCCAACCTTCTGGTGTTAGCTAAAATTAGAATGACTAGTCTACTCTTACTGTTTCTTAAGTTACTTCCCACTGGGTGGCTAGATGAAAAAGGATTTGAAATCTTGGACACTGAATAATGAGTTTTCTAGTTGGGCTTTAGTTTGAATCTTGCCTTGGACACCTTAACCCTGGTAAGTCGTTTGCCTTCTCTCCGCCTTAGTTTTCTCATCTGTAAAATAGGAGTGATGGTAATAATAGCACCTGTGTGTGGATCGAATGAAGCAACATAATGAAAAGCTTTTGGCAGTCTTTAAAGTGCAGGAAAAATGCTAGCTCTTATCATTATGTTATTGTAACCAGGCCTCTTATAAAGAGATGGTGTTAAAGCAAGACAGGAAGGGTAGAAGTTCTGGATCTTTCCATTTGCTATCCCATCCTCCTACGTTCCAGCAGAGACTATTTAGTCATTGTAAGATTTAATCAAGAATATCTTCATTATGCATCGATTTGTTTTAGGAAATGCTACATAGATAGAAAAAAATGTTTCTTATTTATGATAGCAAATAGTAAGATAAAACCCCAGTGTTATAGGAGGGGGAGGGATAGTTCCATACCATCTCTGTGAACCTGTCTGTGCAGGCCATTCGAATTCGTTCGGGAGTCGCTGGGCTGTTCAGCATGAAGTCTTCCGTTAACCCCCTTTCTTTGCGAGCTGCTGTTACTGCATCACTTATAGCAAAGAACACAGAACATCCCAGGAACATACCTGACTCACCCAGGCCCTGTATGAAAGTAGAAATTTAGAAATTTCTTTATAATTAGATTTTTATAAATTTTTATTATTAAATCTTTTTAGAAATTTCTCTTGAATTTATGTGAACTGATGCTGAGTAAAATGACCAGAACCAGGAGAACGTTGTACATGGTAATAGCCACACTGTGCGATGACTGACTTTGATAGACTTGGCTCTTCTCAGCAATGCAAGCACCTAAGACAACTCCAAAAGACCCATGATGGACGATGCTATTCATACCCAGAGAAAGAAATATGGAGTCTGAATGCAGATGGAAGTATACTATTTGCTCTCCTTTTCCTTTGTTGTTTTGTTTTATTGCTTCATTCTTGTGGTTCCTCCCATTAGTTCTAATTGTTCTTTATATCATGGCTAATGGGAAAATATGCTTAATGTGAATGTATAAGTAGAGCCTATATCAGATTGCGCGCTGTCTTTGGAGAGGGAGGGGAGGGATGGGGAGAAAATTTAAAACTCAAAATCTTATGGAAGTGAATGTTGAAAACTAAAAATAAATTAATTAATTATTTTAAAAAAGAAATGTCTCTTGAGATATTCATATATCTTTAAGAATTTCCAATGCTTTGGTTCACTCCTTCCATGTTAGAATTATCATAATTCTGCTCTTGGTGAAATACCAGTAAGCTAAGGAATAGGCGCTAAGTAAGGGTTTAAGGGAGGGGTAGGGTCCATTCTTTCATGAATGTAAAGAAAGAAAATCTATCATAGCATATGATTTAGAGTCCAAATGTATACAACTCCAGGGGCCATGTTACATTTTAAAGAGTGACAACCTATTGGGGCAGGCAGGTGGCACAGTAGATAGAGCTCTGGCCTTGGAGTCAGGAGGACCTGAGTTCAAATCCAGCCTCAGACACTTGACACTTATTAGCTGTGTGACCCTGGGCAAGTCACTTAACCCTGATTGCCTCACTATTAAAAAAAAAAAGAATGACAACCTATTACTTTCTTGATGGATCAATACCATACACAATTATTGGTAGGTTAAGAAAAGATTAGAGTTCACATATAATAGAATAACACATGGCTTCCCTTTCTTCCTTGGGTACCTTATGTGCATATGAAAATCAAAATGCTAAAAGCGAGATGAAATGTACTGTATGGTATAGACCCATCAAGACCCATCCCAATGGAGAAGGGAGTCTTAGGTGTCAGAAAACTTGTACTCTGGTCCCCCACTTATTAGCAGAGGGACCAACTTCACTTCTCTAAGCTTTAGTTTCCTCAGATATAAAATGGAGATTGTAAGACTTCTGTGCTACCTACCTACAGGATTATTGTGAGGAAAACACTTTGTAAACCTTAAAATATTAGATAAATACAGCTTGTTATATTATGTGGTATGGTGGAAAGAATACTGTCTTTGGAATCAGAGGACCTGGGCTGAAATCCCTCCTCCAACACTTAGTAATTTTGGGTAAAGTCACTTAGCCTGTTGGCTGCAGTTTTCCCATGTATAAAATGAAGGGTTGGCCTGAATGACCTCCAGAGGTCCTTGCCAGCTCTAGGTCTATGATCCTAGACCTAAATTATAAAATATGCACATAATGACTGGGCTCTTGAGTGTCAGTTGACTATCTTGGTATGTGACAAGTATTTATTTCATGCTTTCTGTCTTGCAAAGACTTCTAATCCACCAGGTGACTTGAGAATTTTAAGGCATAATCATCCTTCCTTCCTTTCAGAATCTCTATTCTCTTAGTACCCTATGTATAGGGAAAATTGATAAACTGAAAGTGAAAAGATATTTAGAAAGGATTAGATCCCTATGCTCTCATGTATTGCTAAATACTTTTGGATTTGCAAAGTAAGGGGAATTGCGTGGCTTCATTTATATCCTATTTCAGAGTCCTATTCCAGAGAAGCCTTTTCCCACCCCCAAAAACCTAAGTATAGTTTCTGCTCAGAATGAGGGTTCATTGTAACCTAATTTGCCATCTGTACATTGCAGATCTTAAACCTTTAGTTTTACTTTCTTAGGGATAATCATGAGTTTTTGCATTTAGAAGAAAAACCGGAATAACCCTCTATACCGAATTCCCTATGAGAAGAAGCAAGGGCCTCTGGTTAGCTTTGAAGATTATTTATAGGGGGCAGCCAGGTGGTGCAGTGGATAGAGCACGGGCCTTAGAGTCAGGAGGACCTGAGTTAAAATCCAGCCTCAGACATTTGACACTTACTAGCTGTGTGACTCTAGGCAAGTCACTTAACCCCAATTGCCTCACCAAAAAAAAAAGATTACTTATAAAAACAAGGCTTCTTATGGAATTTGGGGGCCTTGTGGAATCCTAGGATTGTAGTCATGACAATGATTAGGTTCATGTCATTTATCCAATCTACTCCCGAGTTTGATTGTCTGTAACAAGAGGGTGTGAGGATAGATGCTTTCTAAGGTCTAGCTCCAATATTCTGTAGACATATGAACCTGATAACTGATTCTTATATTCTATTTTGGCCTCCAACCATCATCCCTACGCCATTTTAGCTACAGAGAACTATTTCCATTGCTTCTTAGAACATGTCAATGGTACTTACTTTAATCAAGAGAGCATTGTACACGGTAACAGCAATATTGTATGATAATCTACTATGATTGACAGCTCTTCTCAGCAACACAATAATCTAAGACAATTCTAAAAGATTCATGGTAGAACATGTTATCTACATCCAGAGAAAGGACTGATGGAGTATGAATGCAGATTGAAGCGTACTATTTCCACTTTTTTTGCTAGTTTTTTTCCTTTTGTTCTGTTCCTTCTTTCAAAACATGACTAAATATAGAAATATGTTTTACATGATTGCATAGATATAACCTATACCAACTTACTTTGGGGGGAGGGAGGAGAGGGAGGGAGAAAAATTTTAGAATTCAAAATTTTATTAAAAATGGATGCTAAAAATTGTCTTTACATATAATTGGTAAAATAAAATACTATTTAAAAGGAAAAAAAAGAACACGTCATAGATGCTTACTTTAGATGAATAGATTGCCATTGGGTTCTCTGATGATGTTAGTAAGGAAACATTAAATTCCTCCGGGATGTCTGTGACTGAAGGAATTTTGTACTCATCAGGGCCCTGAGAATGCAGTACTCCTTCAGGAGAATATTTCAGTTCTTCTATTGTATAAAGTCCCAAGCCCTGAATGAATGAGCCTTCAATCTGCAAAGGGACAATTTCAAGATTTTTTTTTCAGCCAAAGACAAGGTTTATTAGAACATCTGTTATATTGGGCAGACTCTTAAGGAGTCTGAATGTTAGTGAGCTATTGGCTAGATTATAAAAATCTGAGCAATGGCTAGATTTTAAGAATCTAAGCGAATTTCAAGATATTTAAAATAACATTTTGAGAGCATAGTCATAGCAACAATCACTTTTGAGATAACTTACAGATCTAAATACTTTGGTACTTACCTGTCCTATATCTATGGCTGGATTTATGCTGCAACTTGCATCCATGACTATGTCAGTTCTTATGTTCTAGGAAAAAAAACATCAAAAGCTATATTTACGAAATATCGCATTTTAAAAGATACTTTTCTTTGAAAGAGCCCCCCTTCCTCCCAGAGCCATGCCCTAAAGACATTCCACTTTACTGTTTTCTTGTTTTTGGTCCCCAGCACTTAGAAAAACTCTTATGAGAGACTGCGTAGGTCTATGAGAATGCTGGAAGTCACTGAAGTTGGCCAAGGATATCAGAGTGTAAGCTCACAGAGAGCAGAGATTGTTTCGTTTTTCTTGCTTATCATCAGCCTGGTACCATACATGGTAGGTACTTAATAAATGACCATTGTTGGATTGATTCAAGATTGTAATTACAGAACAATAATCATAAGTCCCGTAGATTGCTGATTTCATCAGCTGCCACATACACATGTGTACCCACCCTGGACAGCTCCTATCTATGTCCTCCTATTGCCTAGCAACAGAAGGCTCTAGTCAGTGTGTTTGGGGCTCTCATTGCATCCGCTCAACATGTGGATTCCAGTGGAAGTTAGAGGCTGTCCGTCAGTTATCCCTTGCTTTTCCAGTCAGCCATTTCTGTGATGACATCTTTTATGCTGATACTCTTGTATAATTCCTTATTTTTTTAGTGTTTTGCAGTCTGCTTACACTTTCTTCATATATCAGAATATCAGGGTGATGTATAACGTAGGCCTAATTATTCTGGCATAACAATAGGAAATCAGACAATATAATTTATATAATGACTGTGTATCTGTGCCTCCTTGAACAGTCTAGCAAAGTAGCCACATCTAAGGGATTGACTTGAAGAAGGCCTCGCAGTGTCATTCTACTGAAACTAAGATGAAACCTGTGGGTGCAAATCGACCTTCTTCAGCAGGGGCTGGCCACCTTGAAAACCTCAGTAACTATGAATATACATGCATATAAATAAGTGACATTGTCACTAATTCAAATCAATTCAATTAACATTAAATGCCTAGTATGTGTGAAAATACACAATGAGAAACCACACAGTCTCAGGCCTCAAAGAGTCTGCAGTTTAATAGAGGGAATGAGACTCATAAATAAACATGATACAAGGTAGAATGTGATAGGTGATATAAGTAAGAGGTTGAGACAAAGGACCATGGGAGCTCTGAGGGAGGAGAAATAACCTTTAGCTAGGGGGCTCAGGAAAGGCTGGAACCTAAATTGTGAGATGAATTTGCATAATCAGACCACCAGCTTTTTGGAGCAAACAATAGCAAATTTGAAGAAATAATAAAAATGAGATATGGCATGCAATCAAAATAACTCCAACCTGACTAATTAAAATAAGCCATTGATGTTGAAAGTATATTAACCCAATGGATAAAAGAACAGATGCTGACAGGTTATTATGATTTTCTAAAACAAAAACTGAACTAATGTAAACCAATAACCCAGTGAAGAGAATAAAAGAGCTCCTAATTTATTTCAGCCAAAAATTTGATCTCTTTGCCAGGAGAGGGAGAGAGAGAAAGAGAAGGAGAAGGAGGGGGGAGAGGAGAGAGAGAGAGAGAGAGAGAGAGAGAGAGAGAGAGAGAGAGAGAGAGAGAGAGAGATGGCTGCCAAGAATAACACTGGCTAAAAATATGAACTAATTTATAAAATCTCATGGAGGTATATGATGGAAGATTGTGTGTAGTACTGCCTCATAAAACAGTAGGAAATAGTAGGAAGAAAAGCAAGTTTACAAAAAGCTTAGCAAAGTCTCCACAAAGCCCCAGGGCATTTAAGGATAAACTTGTAAGGAAGATGACCAGAGGATGAAAAATAGAAAAGGTATGTAAAGATTATCTTAAACAAAGTTTTCTACATCAATGGAAATGAAACCATCACATCGAGACTCTATTATAGCCCCTGGTATGTTGCCAGAGAAAATTGGAATGGCATTAAGGAAAAGAAGGATAAGAGCAGGTAAGTGTTCACAAAGTAGGGTCATTCTACTACAGGCAGTGCAGTTTTGAAGGCAATGAGGGATTGATTCACAAGATATTTGGAAGAGGAAGAGCACCAAATTATTGGGGGTGGGGAAGGAAAGTACCAACCAAAAAAAAAGATTCAGAAAATACCCTAAATTACTAACCCATATGCCTACTTCCCAATTGTTACAAAGTCTTTGAGAATAATTTGCACATACGCTGAGGTCATCCTTAATGAATGTACAAGGAAGGAGTGGGCAGCCTTTCACAAATAAAATTCTGCAGCAGACCACATTTTCTCAATCCTGCGACTGATGGATTAAAAAGTGCCAAGAATATAAGATCTCACTCAGTTTGTTGTCTATGAAAAAGTACTTGATTTAGTAGAAAAAATACTGCCTTCAAGTTACTTCTCCAACAAGGTATCTCCAGTGCAAATAACAAAATCATATGAGAGATGTGATAATAAAGATAACCTTGTTCAATGACCCTACGACTAAGTGAGGTAGAAAATAAATTGTTTGTCAAGAGTGTTTACTGCTGTCAAAGAAGATGCATATATAGCACAGAGTCCAAATGGAAGAAGAATTCCCAAGAGATAATGAGGTCCTCCAAATGGTCTTCTTTGCAGATGATCTAATGATTGTGCCAATTCCTGGAACGTTGCAGATTCTTCTAAATGAGATTGGTAATAACTTAAAAGAGTTCAGCCTAACTATGTTCCAGGGGAAAACTGAGTGGATGAAGAATGCCTATTGTAAAGATTATGATATGCTATTGCCTGCCCAAGACATACTACTCCAGCAATAACTATATCTTGGACAATGAACTGAGTCCAAAGTTGAACAGCAGGAAAGAGGGTTGGATTGCCTTTAGGAAATTCTTTTTAAATGACCTGAAGCTTTTCTCTGAAACAAAGGCCTATATTTTTAGTGTAGATAGTCTTGTGATGATCTTATATGACTGTAAGTCATGGAATACCACAGTTTCAAAATATTTAACATTGTAGTTCACTAAAAGGGCAATGGAAAGGTGTATGGTGGGTGTAAGCAGGCTGCAATATGTCATACTGTTTAAAGGATGTTGTCAGAAAGATAGATGACTGAAAAAGGTCCGTCATCTCTTATCTGAGAGCAAGGAGTAGCTAAAGTTCCATCATTGAAAAGCACAGATTCTAGATTGTAGATGCAGGGGTGGGGAACCTGCAGCCTTGAGGCCACATGTGGCCTTCTAGGTCCTTAGGTGTGGTCTTTTGACTGAGTCCAAGTTTTACAGAACAAATCCTTTTATTAAGGGGATTTGTTCTGTGAAGTTTGGATTCAGTCAAAGGGCCACACTTGAGGACCTAGAGGGCCACATATGGCCCTGAGAGGCGGGTTCCCCACCCCTCTTCTAGAGGACGGTCCATGGCACATTCGATAGGCTCTTTCTGGATGATTTATGGGAAGACGTAGGCAAGAATTATACAGGATGAAAAGGTGTGGGTGAGTTGCAGTCTGTATAATTAGAAGTAATGCCCCTGTTGATGAAATTATGGATCCATCAACTACAGAAATACTTAAAAGATGCTTTAATATCCTCCATATGATCTTTTTCTTTCTTTTTTTAAAATAAGTTTTTGGTTACTTTTCATTTTTATGTAATTTTCACTCCCGGATATACCATCTCTTCCTCTGACCACATCCCCTTGGTTGAACCTTCCTCTCACCTTATAATAGAGAAAAACAGTTAAGCAAAACCAAGCAAATACAGGGACCACATCTGATGATGTGTGCAACATTCTGCCATCCTAGTCCCTTGCTTCTCTGCCAAGAGGAGGAGTAAGTTATGTTTCATTTGGACCATTTCTTTTTGAGGGAAGTTGGCGGAAGATGATCTTGGCATGAGTTATAATTTAGTTTTCTGTAATTTTCTATAGCACACTGTAATATGTTGTATAAGAACAAAAAAGAGCATCTGGTAGACCACCATGAATCCGTGAGCTCATGCCTGCCCAGCCTATGTAGTTCTTATTCTTCTATAAATCTGCCACAATTCTTTAATTGCCTTCTATAAATCTGTCTCTGCAATGTCCTACAGGCCTTCCTCTTGTTGTCTGGACATTGCATGGATACCAGTGGAACCTGTGTGATTTCCACGTGTATTCTATTCCAAAATCTCATTTAGTATTATAGGTCTAAAGTTTCTTAGTATTCATTTGTGAAATCAGAAATTTTTTTTTTTTGCTAAGTGGTGATAATCCCCATTAAAGTCTAACTCTGATGCTTCATTTGTGGCATGAAGAAAAAACTGGGTTTTTGAAGGCTGCGCTAGTGGGGTATAAGCTCTGGTAGTCTCTAATAGTAAGGAAAAGTTTCTAATGTAGAACTGGTAATGGACTGTATGTCTTTTGACCAGTCTTCCTAGATTTGGAGAGGCTCATGGCTTGGCCATGAGGGTGATGTTTTTGGTAATAGCAACTCTCCAAGTTATGCAGAAATTGTGATCTACATCAGTGGAGGGACTTCCTTCACTGAAGAAATCACAGAACCCTAAAGTATCTCACTTATGGCTGCCAATAACCAGTTTTGTTTTGTAGCAGCATTGTTAATGGCCCACAGCTAAATGCCATGGTAAAGTTAGAAAACCCCACTTAAATCTTGGTCAGCTGATTTCCTATTGAAAACATTGTTCCTGTGAGGAATATATATATATGTATGTATATTTTAGTGAGGCTATCGGGGTTAAGTGACTTGCCCAGAGTCACACAGCTAGTAAGTGTCAAGTGTTTGAGGTCACATTTGAATTCAAGTTCTTCTGACTCCAAGGGCAGAGCTCTATCCACTTCACCACCTAGCTGCCCTGAGAAAATTTCTTGTAAAATTTCTTTCTGCTTAATATTTTTCTGAGGTATAACTAATTAATGATATTTGAAGGGACATACCTGTGTATATAACTAAGAAAATTTACCAATTTTTTTTTTTACCAAAAATTCCTCACAGGGTTTTTTGGAAAGGATCTTTGCAGAAATATCATTTCAGAATGCTTTCTTAAGATCATTTACTAAATTACCTACCTATTCTTTAACATTAGATATATACAATATTTGATATTCATAATCCCTGACCTTTGGGAATCCCTTTCTCAACTCTTCTCCAGGGTCAAGCTTCTTGGCCATTTTCATTTACATCCTCGTAGTCAGAGGTGTGCTGGTAAATGTTTGACAACCATCCCTCCAAAAAAAAAATGTACACACACTTTAACAACAACAACAGAGATCTCTGAGGAATCCAGTTTGAAATTTTCAGTAGACTATTAGTGAAGGGATATATCATTTTCTTAAGTGTTTCTTAAGTTTCTCCTTTCTCTAGGAACAGAGTAGCTTTGGAGGAATTTGTTTTTAGTTTCCCGGAGTAAAATATGCACACAGTTGATGTTTAATTTCCTAGAAAGTAAAGACTATAGTATACACTAAAATTTGAATTTTGGGGGCATATGTGGAAATTTAGGGAAGAATTGGACATCGAGACATCCCTGTATAACTGAAAGGATCTTAGTCTTATCTTTTCATAACTCATAAACTATCAATTACCTCAATAAAAGACAGAAAGCATTTCATACAAACAAAGGAAACAAAATTTTATCATTTGTGAAAGCTATAGTAACCTTATGAGCTCCTGTCAGGCAGTCAATTTCAACTTCAGAACAGGCAGCTCCTTCAACGTAGTATGGAAATGGGTCTCCTTCCCCTTTCTCCCAGTCCATATTGGCCTTATAGCCTCTGGTGAAAGCAATAAAACCTGTGACATTAGCTGTAGTATGAGAATAACATGATATAATTTTTGTTTTTTAAGTCTTTTATTGGTATGTTTTTTGATATAACTTTCATTTACAACTGAGAGCTATAATTCCTCCCTTCTCCCCACCTAGTGAATCACCCCTGATAATAAAGAATAAAAAAAAGAAAGAGAGAAAAAAGTTTAGTAAAATGAACACATCAGTTGAATCTGACAGTATATACAGTTTTCAATACCTATAGTCCCTTGACCTTGGCAAGGAAGGGAGAGAAATGTGCTTTCTCAACTCTTCCCCAAGGCCAAGTTTCTTGGTCATTAAAATTATACCTCTTTTTTTTTTTTGGTTATTTACAGTTCCATTATTGTCAGAGGTGTGCTGGTAGATACTTAACAGCCACCTCTCCAAAATAATGTAGGTGTGTTGGTAAATATTTAACAATCACCTCTCCCCAAAAATTGTACACACATTTTTAAATTTAATCTGTATTATTAAAATTTCCCCCCACTTTCTTAAGTCCAGACAATCAACAAAAGAATAAATCAAGCCTTAGTTTCTAACATTTGTTGGTTTCTGAAACATAAATGTTCATTTAGTAATTTGGCTCTTTGTATCCATTGTGTATATTGCTTTCCTAGTGCTTACTTCATTCTGCATCAGTTCACGTCTTGTGCTTCTCTGAATTCTTTATAACCATTATTTCTTATGCCAGTAATATTCTATTTATCTATTACGACTTGTTTAGCCACTTTGCTCTCATGAACAGCTACTTAAAGTGTTGCTATGAATATTTTGCTGTACATGAGACCTTTCTGTCTTTGTCCTGTTTGTGAGATGCATCTAATAGTGGCATCTCTGAATCAAAGGATAAGGATATTTTCATAACTTTGAAAATATAATTCCAAATTGCCTTCTAGAATGGTTGGACCAATTCATAACTTCAGCAACAATTACTAGGGTGCCAGTTTTTCTGTAGCCCCTCTGCCACTGACTGTTTCCATCTTTTGTCATCTTTGCCAATTTTCGAGGCAAAACTTCAGAATCATTTGGATTTGCATTTCTCTTATTGATTAGTGATTTGGAGAAATCTCTCCTATTTTATCCTCCAACATATCCTCTTCTCTCTCAGTTTTGTGACACTATACTTTCGGTCCTCCTGCCACCAGTCTAAGTGCGCCACCATCTCCTGGGCTAGATTAGTATCCATATCATGCCCCGACTGTAGGTATACCCCAAGGCATGGCCCTACGACCTCTTTCTTTCCCTCCTTCCTCTCTTCCTCTTCCTTCCTTCCGCTCTTCTTCTTCCTCCTCCTCCTCTTTCTTCTTCCCTTTTCCTTCTTTCTTCCTTCTTTTTTTCCTCTCACCTCATAAGCCCTTATGGTACAAATTATCATCCCCATGAAGATGACTCACAGATCTATAGACACAGCTTTAATGTTTCCTGAGCTCCAGTCCCAACGATCACAGGACCATAGATTGATAGTTGCAAGGGACCTTACAGGTCATTTAGTTCACTTGCATCATTTTACAAATGAGGAAACTGGGGACCAGAGAGGCTAAGTGACTTATCCAAGGTCAGATTAAGTAAGTAATAAGCGGCAAAGTAGAGATTTGAACCCAGGTCCTCTGACTCTAAATCCAGTGCTGTGCCACTATGCCCATGACATCTCCCTTCACTAATGCTTACCTCCTGAACATTTCAAACTGGATGCCTCAGAGACATCTCAAATTCAATGGAATTAAAACACGATGCATCTTTCCCCCCAAACTTACCTCTCTACCAAACTTCCCTACTTCTAATAGTTGTTGTTGTTGTTTACTAATTTTCCAGTTGTGTCTGATTCTTCCTGACCGCATTTGGGGTTTTCTTGTCAAAGATACTGAAAGTGGTTTGTCAATTCCTTCTCCAGCTCATATAACAGATGTGGAAACTGAGAAAAACAGGGTTAAGTGACTTGCCCAGGGCCATAGTTCTATGGAGAGCACAACTATTCTTCTAGTCTCCCAGTTCCATAACCTCAACGTTATTCTCATCTCCCCACTCTCCCTCATCCTAAAAACAAATCCATTGTCAAAGCTTGCCATTTCTACCTCCACAACGAGTCAGATTTTTTTTTCCTATTTGTTACACGTGGCACTCTATTTCCTGCCTTGGCGCCTTTTCCGCTGGATGCTCCTACTCTTCCCCCCTGCCTCGGTTTCCCTCCTCACCTCCTTCCCTCCTTCACAAAATCACTCACTTCCTTCAAGTCCTTCAGGATCAAGTACCCCGTTCCACAGGACGCCTTTCCTGATTTCCCAACTGATAGTGACTTCTCTCCCTAACTCCTTTATATCTATTTTGTATTTATTTGTTTTGTATATATGTGTTGTACGTATGTTATCTCCTTTTATAGAATGTAAATTCCTTGATATCAGGAACTATTACTTTTGTCTTTATATTCCAGAGCCAAGCACAGTTTCTGGTACACAACAGACACACTAAATGCTGGTTGGTGGGCTCCATTGATATTAGACTGATCATTTGAGTGATGGTGTTATTTCAGATATTCTTTAGCCTGGTGTTGGACCTGTCTAGGGTTTAACTGTATTCACCCTAGACACCTAAACTTTCCCTTTTGTTTCCCCTAATTACACACAGGATTTACAAAGTATTTTCCTTATAATAATGCTGTGAGGTTGGAAGTGCAAGCATTATTATTCCCATATTATGGATGAGGAAACTGAGGCTCAGAAAGCCTGGTGGAAATAACTGTAGACTTAAAGTCAAAAGACATGGCTTCAAGTTCCTGCTAAATAACTGTGTGACACATGACTAATACGAAAATGTTTTTCATGACTGCCCATTTATAACCTTTATCAAATTTCTTGCCTTCTCAGTGAGGGGGAAGAGATGAGATGGTGGGAGAGAATTTAGAACTCAAAATTATAAAAAACAAAGGTTAAATACTATTTTTACACATAATTGAAAAAAATTTAAAAATAACTTGTGATCTTGGGGCATGCTAATAGGTTATTACTAAATATTCTATCTTCTTACTACTTAGCAAAGCTATAATTACAATAAAAAATGCAGTGAAATAATCAAATATTGCAATATAGCCTTTTCTTGCCTAATGTGGTTCTATGATTATGTCAGTCTTTATTTTTCACAGGATGCATCTCCAAGCTAACCTGGGGATTATTCATAACAGTTTTCATTTACATAAAGTTTTGTCAGCCTATAGATTTAAATCTAGAAGGGATCTTATAGTTAAACCTTTCATTTTACATATGGAGAAACTAAATCCCAAAGAGTTGAAGTGACTTGTCTGAGGTCACATGTTAAATTGCAGAGCAAGGATTGAAAGCCAAGAGCCAAATCCATCACTTCCTGATTTAAGTGTTTTTGCAAACATCCCATTCGAGTCTCAAGAATGCTGTAACAGATGAGGAAATTAAGCCTTTCAAGAGGCTAGCCTAGTATATTGAGCGCCAGATAAAGGACCCAAACCTAGGTCCTCATCTTTTGACTCACAAGTTCCAGGATCTTTCCACTAAACAACCTTAGAGCAACTTGGTGATCAGCAGTTCTCAAAATGTGGTTCTTGGACTCTTTGAAGTCCAAGGGTCTTTGAAGTCAAAATTTTTTCATAATATTAAGACATTATTTGCCTATGAAAATACTCCTCCCTTTTCCAGTATTTTCTTCATATGCCTCAGCCAAAACAAAGTATCACAACATATTGAATACAGAAGCAGATATGAGAATCCGGTTGTCTTCTGTTAAGCCAGATATTAAAGAGATTTGCAAAAATATGTAAAAACAATGCTATTTTCCTTACTTTTGGGGGGAAAATATAAAAATTTTTAAAAATATTTTTAATATTTTTGTGAAATGTGAAAAATTGTTTTTATAAAATTTTACTTAAGTTAACATGTAATGAGTTTATAAAGAATTAATGACAAATAAATATTTTCAAAATTACCAGTTTTAATTCTAATATGACAAATATTAACAGATATGACCGAAATGAACAAAAGTTCTCCTGGGCCCTAAATAATTTTTAAAAGTGGGAAGGGGTCCTGAGACCACCAAAAAGTTTGAGAACTGTTGGTTGACCTAGGCTGATTCTCCATATTTTACAGATAAGGAAATGGACGCAGCAGTCAAGTAGCATCTCTAGATAGGCAGAGTCCTGAAATTTACAAAAAAGAGAAGAAAACTTTTTTTTACCTGAAATATCCTGTAGCTGAAAGGCTGATTCTTTTTTCAAATGCTGCTTTGACCTGTAGAATGGGCATATTCAAGATAAACTTATAATGGAGGAAACATAAAAACTTGCAAGGCCCAATGCCCAGGGTGTGAGTGACTCTGTACACTTGGGAATATGGGAGGTTCTTGAACCTGCTTGGTCCTGACACTTCACCCTCTAGACCAGAGACTAGGCTGGTGGGTATTTAACTCTTTCTATTCTGGAGCTCTGAGGCCTGTACGATTCTGCTTGGATGAGTGCCTCCTGTGGCCCATGATAACTAGCTGTCCCCAGCCATGCTTCATGCTTTGTACCTGGATATCCCTGATTTCCCCACCCCTTATCCAGGTCTGGAATCATTCTCAAATCAATACTGCCATTGCTCCTGGAAAGGGTGTCAATCTACCCCTCTGTGGCTCCACTCACCAACCCTGTGGCTTTCTTTCTTTTTCTTCCTTCCTTCCTTCCTTCCTTCCTTCCTTCCTTCCTTCCTTCCTTCCTTCCTTCCTTCCTTCCTTCCTTCCTTCCTTCCTTCCTTCCTCCCTCCCTCCCTTACTCTTTCTTTCCTCTCTCTCTGTCTCTGTTTCTCTCTCCTCCTTCTTGCTATTGGTAAATTTTATTTTTTATTGTGAATTTAATTATTCACAGAGATCTGTATCAGAAACAGTGAACTTTTGTTACATATAGTTTGCTTTTTAGGTCATATAATAGTACATATATGTCTTAAAAAAAACCCCAAACAGAAATTTATAACTCTATGATTTTTTAAACCCAAATAATCCTCCCTGGCTACTGCACATCTCTGTGTTGTTTCATCATTAGAATGTAAACCTCTTCAGGTTAAAGACTCACTTTTGTATTTATATCACCAGAGCTTAATACTGTGCTTGTCTCATAGTAAGTGCTTAATGAGTGCTTTTTTCATTTATTCATTCATTCATTCATTCATTCATTCATTCATAGAACTGAAATCAGATGTCCATGTTATGCACCTAGATATTCCATACCCACCACAGGCCATGAGGTAGCTTTTGTCATAAAATGACCACGTTCAACTTCTTATCCTTTCTAGAAGAGTAGTCCATGTACTGTTTGGGGTAAAGCAGGAGAATCCCCTTCTTGCTAGCTGACCAGTGGCTTTTTTGAAGTCGGGGAAAGACAGAGAAGTTTCCTAATGTCTAAAATCATATCTCAGAGTGTATTTTCCCAGAGAAGCAATTTTAGAAATGGTGCTTAGATTCCAGGCTAGTCCATAGAAGTATGAGGGAGTACACTGGCAGAAACCTTATGAGTTACTTCAGGCATCCTTTCATGCCTTCTGTTTCCTCAGAGGTTGGCAACCCTCAATAGACAGACACACATACATGTATGTATAAATACACACATGTATATGTATATATATATATACACACAGAGATATGTGTGTATATCTGTTCTTTCCATCTATCTATCTATCTATCTATCTATCTATCTATCTATCTATCTATCTATCTATCTATCTATCGTATTCCTGTTGGGCCTTTGCTATAGTAAGAGAGGACCCATTATAAAGTTTCCTTTCTCCTCTGACTTACATAATTTTAGAAGTCTGATTTTTGGAGATTGAAGTAGGGTAGAGTCATATCAATTAGGCTTGGCATACGTGATATAATTCATGAGCTGATTATGGCTAGATTTTCTAGGTGTTAGAAATTTTTGGGATGGGAATTTTTGGGAGGAGAATATATTTGTTCTGATGAAATTAGATATCGTATTATGAATAAGACTGAGATATCAGAGTTATTTTCACTGACACATATTCAATATTAATTAAATCTTTGGTCTCCTGCTTTCAAGCCTTGTTGGAAACACAGCTTAGTGGAGGAAAAAGAGAAGGGGAGGGGGAGTGTTTAGTCCAAAGAAGGCAAAACCTAGAAGAGACATGATAGCAGTGTTGATGTAGTTGAAGGGTTATCACAAGGAAGAGGGCTTAAGACTTATCTTTAGCCCAGGGGCAGCTAGGTGGCACAGTGGATAGAGTACTGGCCCTGAAGTCAGGAGGACCTGAGTTCAAATATGGCCTCAGACCAAACACTTGACACTTACTAGCTGTGTGACCCTGGGCAAGTCACTTAATCCCAATTGCCTAAAAAAAAAAAGACTTATCTTTAGCCCCAAAGGACAGCATTAAAAGCAATAGGTATAATTTGAGACCACCAAATAACCAACTTTTATTTTGATTTCAGCTTTCCATTTTACTAAAGTACATTAGGGGAGTGAGTTTGTAATGGTTTATTTTTCTTGTGTCTTCTTCTGAGCTATGTTCTTCCCTTCCCCAGATGGGTACAGATGAATGCTTTATTCAAGCCTACATGCATTTAGGGACACTCTATTCAATCCTTCCACTTAGAGCCCAGCTGGAGAAAGAGAACAGAGCTTCTAGCGTTTCTGATATTAGAACAGTTGTCTTCACTTCGTATTTGGCCCACCCCTCCAAGTAAATAGCAATTTGTACCAGTTTTCCTGTATTTATTTCTTATTCTGAGAAGCAAATGTGGATACTGCACTTACCCAGTCTTCCCATGTGCCTTCAGGATTTTTCTTAATGATGGGCTCAAGGCGTTTCAGGAGAATCTGACAGGCATTCTTGTGGGGGTAAAGATGGGAAAAATATTAAAAGAAACATTAATTCATTTAACTTTGAATGAAAAACTAGTAAAAGTGAATTAATATTTATTTGGTGGTATAATTAGTTACATTAGAGACTTTTAAAATAGGAACACAGATTTCAATGGGACCTCGGAGATTATTGAGTTCAATTCTTTTATTTTTACAGATAAGGAAACTGAGACTCAGAGAATGACTTGTCCAGGATCACACAGCTAGAAAGTTTCTGAGGTGAAATTTGGATCCAGGTTTTCCTGATTTCAAGTCTAGATTTCTGTCCACTATACCAGACAATCATTCTTTTCTTTCTTTCTCAATTCCTCTACCTTCACTTATATCCTTGCTTTCAGGTTCTACTTCGAGATCCCTCAGCCTTTTGCTGTCTTTTCCTCTATTTTTTATGTCTGTCCTTTCTTTTACCTCCTTCCATTCCACTGTCCCTAGCATTATCTCGTGCTCCTCATGGATCAAACCTTCCCATATTTAATCACATTTCCCCTGCACTTTTTAGTAATACTATCTTACTGTCAATACCTGCCACCCTTCAGATCTAAAATGGTAATAATGACTTATCTTTGCTGGCTTTTGGAGGCATTTGCGCTAGACATGAGATAAAGAATGAAGAGCATGTCAAGTTTTCTATAGGACTATATGTGGTAATACCAAATGTGGTAGATATTACCAGATCTAATAAGGATACCCAAATGTGCCCTGATCATTGACTTCTTTCTCTTATTCTAAGAGAATACAAGCTCTGAACTCCATAAAATGAGTTAGATCTTTGCTTTTTCCCTTACTTCCCCCATGTTTTGAATTGGTTCTCAGTCTTGGCCAAAGGTAGACCTAATAGGTTTTTGGTTCCTTCTAGCTTTCATTTTGAAGAACATCTTAAGATACAGAATCTCAGAGCCATTTAATTGAAGCCATCCCTGAGCAAAAATCCCCTCTCTAAAACAACCAATGCGTGATCATCTGGCCTTTGTTTGAAGATCTTTAGTAAGAGGGAACATGCTACCATTTATGTCAGTTGATTCCATTTTGGGATAGCTTTAATCGTTAGGAAGTTTTTCCTGACATAGGCATGCTGTCCCATGGAGCATGCATGGGATAGGCCTGTGCCCTGGCCCCTTCAGGTGGTCCACCTGTGTTCTAGATTGTTGCTAATGGACCCTTCATCCCCATGACAGGGAGCTGTGTTAAACATGATTGGCGATGAGCCAAGAAGAGCAATATACTCAATAGCTTGTGAGAGAAAATGAGGACGCTTTTGGAAACGTTACTCCTGATTCTGCCTGCTTTCACTGATCCTCAGGGGACGAAGGGTCCAACCTAGATTACTGGTCACACATACCCTTCAGCAGGTGACCAGAGTCCAAGTGCTTCACCAGAAGGACCATGTATATTCCATGGTATGGCCTCCACTACGCTGATGTCAAGTCTCAAACCGCCTCTTTGTAATTTATAACTACTGCTTTTAATTCTGTACTTTGGGGCTACGGATAAGTCTTAAGTCTTCTTCCTTGTAATAACCCTTCTTCTAAGTCTTATTTTCTTTGGATTAAACACCTCCTCTCCACTTCTCTTTTTCAGCCACTAAGCTGTGTTTCCACAAGGCTTAAAAGCAGTTTCTCTTAGATATGAACTCTAGGACTGGCACTAACCACCTTTTACATGCTATTGTGGCTGGCAACAAATCTTCTAGACTTTAAGCCACCCTACATACCCATATTTAGCTAAAGGGAAGCCACAGACAAAGAAAAATTACACAGGGCAAAAACAGTAACCTGCACGGCCTTCCCGTTGACGTCAGCGCCAATGGATGCAGCAGTAGCAATAGTGTTAGGCACTGTGGCTGTATTTGTTTCACAGAAGTGCATATATGACATTGGTATCTTTAATTCACGGCTGGCAATCTATCAGGAAAAGAAACATTTTCAAGGAGTAAGATTTGTGACAAATAGTCAATCTAAAAAAAAGAACAATTTTATTAAGTTATTTATACAATGCTATCATTCCTAAATGAATGGACAAGCATTTATTAAGTACCTACTATGTGTCAGACACTGTACTAGGTGTTGGGGACATAAAGAGAAAAGCAAAACTGTGACCTCAAGAAAATGACAGTCAGATACCACGTACACATACAGGTCTAATCAAATTTTTGTTGTTCAGTTGTTCAGTTGACTTTTCATGATCCTGTGGACCATCCTGCCCATGGGGTTTCCTTGGCAAAGATATTGGAGTGGCTGGCCACCTCCTTCTCCAGTTGATTAAGGCAAATAGAGGTTAAGTATATGAAGTAGATAGAAGGTGTTTTTGGAGGGGAAGGACCAGGAAACATTTCCTACCAATTTATTTAATTTATTTATATATTATTTATGATTATGTTATATATTTATATTTATTTATATGTGATATAATTAGTTAAGTTTAGTCTTGAAGAAAACTGAGGCAGAGGCAAAAGAGCATCATGGGTATAGGGGATAGCTAGTGTAAATGTATGGAGACGGGAGATAGAAGAAGCCAGCATGAGAAATAGCCGGCAGATCAATGTGGATGGATGACAGAATGTTTGGAGAAGAAAAAGGAGGCTGGGAAGGTAGAAAAAAGCCAGGTTGGGAAGACCTTTAAATGCCAGAAGCAGGCATTTATATTTGATGCTACAGGTTACAGGATGCTAGTGGAATTTATCAAGTAGAAGTGTGAAGTTGTTGGACATATACTTTAGGAAAACCACTTTTATAGCTGGATGGATTGGATTGGGGAGAGATTTGAGGTATGGAGGTTAAAAGCCTTTTCCAATAATCCAAGCAAGAGGAGATGAGGACCTGATCTAAGGTAGAAGCTGTGTGAGAGGAGAGAAGAGAAAGTATACAAGATAGATATATTGGGGACCTAGAAATTACAAAATTTAGTAGTTGACTGGACATGTGGGGTGAATAACGAGTGAGGGTGACATAGATTTTATGAATCTGGGTGACTAGAAGGATAGTGGTACTCTTGATAGTAGCAGGAAAGTAGGTTTCAGGGAAATAACGGTGAGTTCTGTTTCATGTTGATTTTGACACGTCTACAATACATCCATTTTGAAATGTCCAGTAGGCATTTTGTGTTGTAGTACTGGAGAGAGGCTTAGGATAGATGTATAGAAAAGAGGGACCAGGACTGAACCTTAGCATACACCCACTGTTAGTGGCCATGGCATGGATGAAGATAAGGCAAAAGAAACTGAAGAGTGGTCAGATAGGTAGGAGGAGGGTTGTGGAAACCTAGAAGGGGGGGGTCACCAACAGAAAAATGCAGAAAGATGAAGATTAAGGTAAGTCCACTTGGCTTGGTAACATCTAATTCATTGTTAGTAAGTACCAGGGTCTCTTAGAGAGAAGACAAGTTTTGATGTCGCTTTTATATTACTACCTAGTGGTTCCCCCTTTCAAATTTTTTGTTGTTTAGTTGTTCAGTTGGGTCTGACTCTTCAATCTCCTGTGGAGCATACTGTCCATGGGGTATTCTTGGCAAAGATATTGAGTGGTTTGCCACTTCCTTCTCTAGTCACTTAAGGCAAACAGAGGTTAAGTGACTTGCCCAGGGTCACACAGCTAGTAAGTGTCTGAGGCCAATTTCAGAGTTTAGCTATGTGTTTTATTTATGATATGTTCTGAGAATTTCATTACATTATATTTCAACATATGTCATCACAATGTGATCACAATCATACATGCATTCTAAGGGCTGTTCATGTGGAGGTTTTCTCATTTCTTTAGGGTCCACAGTGAGGAGGGAGAGACCAGTATCCTTCATAGTCATAATCATAATAATAATAGCACTTTTACATAGTGCCTACTATGTGCCAGGCACTGTGCTGTGCTTTACCAATATTGTAATTTGATTCTCATAATGATCCTGAGAGGTAGATGCTATTATTATTTCCATTTTATAGATAAGAAAACTGAGGTAAAGAGAGGTTAAGTGACTTGCCTAGGGTCACATAGTTAGTAAGTGTCTGAGGCTGGATTTGGCCCCAGGTCTTCCTGCCTCTAGGCTAGTGCTCACTCCGGTGCTCCACTGAGCCGCCTTTCAACAGAGAAAGCTTCTGGAAGTGCCATGGAGTGTCTGAAAGCCGGGGAACGGGGATGGCTTTCAATGCCAAAGCCTTGTTTTCATTTCCTTTCCTCACTCTCTACCACATCTAGGCTCCCAGCTTCTCAAAGCTCCCTTTTCTCTTATACTGGCTTCTCCATTGTTTACTGTCTCTCTGAGGTTACTCATCCATGATCTATTATTCTCCATTTCCCAGCTTAGCCCTTTTTTTAAAATCCCCTAGAAAGTGCTAATGAAAACTAAGACACAACTTAAAAAAAAGAAGAAAGAAAATGGAAAACCCAGTCATCATTATCTGTCCATCTGTAGGTCTCCTCTCTCCCCCCAACCCCCATCTCATTATATGTTCCATCAGAGAAGTGCCAGGTTCCTTAATTAATTGACACCCAACCAAATCCCAAGTATATAGCAAGGGGAATGTTTTTCTCAATTGGATGAATACCTTCACCTGCATTTCAGGCTTATTTATACATGAACATCACATCCACCTACCCAGCCACTGAAGCTAATCTGTCTGATATCTGAGAAGCCATTTGCAGTAACATTCAAGAACCCAGTTACCAAAAACAGAAAGTCATATTTAATCAAAAGTTAATGAACTTGAAAGAAAAAAAAGATGAAGTTAAAAACTAAAGGTACAAATAACATCACTGTAACTGACATTTACAGCATAAGATTTGTAGTTGTTATTTTTATTTTATTTTTTTACCTGTAACATTTTGGTGTGAATACCTTGCCCCAGCTCACTTCCTCCATGAGTTACCAATACAGAGCCATCTGTGTATATATGAACCAGTGCAGCTGCCTAGAAAAACAAATATTCCAAAAGCTGGTTATTTAATCAAAGTAAAGTTTGATATCAAACACGGAAGATGTCAAAGTTTTCACCCATGGGCAAGGAGAGGAAGAATATGGGGAGAGGATAGGCAGAGCAGTTCAATGGGAAAGATGACTGTATCTAGAATCAGAGGATCTGGGCTCCTGTGTCCCCTGTCATCACCAGCCACTTACCATTTCCAAGCCTCAGTGGCCTCATCCTGTAAATTGAGGGAGCTTGGTTAGGTAGTCTGTAAATCTATGCTCTACTAATAATAAAAAAAAAAAAAAGGGAAGTTGAAGCTGTGGCATGTTTTAGGCAGATACCATCCTTATGTATCATACCATTTTTAGCTTCATTCACACCTTTGGTACTCTAATGATCGTGAATATTGGCTTCAACCAGCTGAAAAAATGTTGCATTTTGCCATTTGGTGGAGGGGGTGGGGCGGGAGGGAGAGGGAAGGAAGAAGCATCTGGGCTTTCTTTAAGAGGCAAGGAGGCAGCTCTGCCTAGATTCTGACATGTTAGTACTTGTATAGACTAATAATAGTCTTGATTTACTGCCAAGAGCCTCCAAGAATGGTGCTTCCCAACCTGAAACTGCAGAGTCAGCATTCCAGTGTGATTGATGAGTCATCGTCATTGCCTGGCCTGAAATAGCCCAAGTTCCAATCCTAACCTTATTATTCAGAGGTACATAAATTTGGAAGAATGTAGGGACTCTAGAAACTTCTCAAATGGAGACTTAAAATCCTTGTTTATTTTGTGTGGACTTGCCTAATAGGAAGACAAGTTGACTCCTATAACCTTGGATAGATTACTAAGATTTGAATCAGAAAGATAACATGATTCCATAGACAGGCATAGGACAGGACAAATGGCCTTGGTAATCAGGACACACAACTTCTCACACCAGCTCAGTCATTGACTCACTGCGTCCTGCATGAGGTACTAAAACTTCTTATGCCCCAGTTTCCCATTTTATAAAACAGATATACTGGCCAGGAGTGTGCTGCTGTTCAGTCATTTCTGACTCTTCATGAATTCATTTGGGGTTTTCTTGGCAAAAATACTGGAGTGGTTTGCCATTTTCTTTTCCAGCTCATTTTACAGATGAGGAACTGAGGCAAACAGAATTGTAGGTCTGACCTATTAGATATAATAAGGCAAATTCTGTTCCCCAGCAAAGAGAGGATTCCATCTGTATAAATCTATAAATAAATGTTCAATACGTGCTTATGTGGACAGTGGTAACTCTATACCTTCTCTAGGCAAAGGCAGAGCAGGTTTATATATTTGGAATTAGGGGTAGGAGTAGCCGGGATAAATAGTCAGTCTATTTGTACATGGTTCCTGAGACACAGGAAGTAGCTAAAGTGTCCTAGGGAGCAAGGTCTGCAACTGCACTTAACTAATTTCCCTACCCATCCCAGGAGCTGGAAAGAGATCTCAGAGGTCAGTTAGTCCAACATCCTTATTTCACTGGAGAGGAAATGAGTTCCAGAAATGTTCAGTGGTTTGCCCAAGATCATACAGGTAGTAATCAGCAGGGATAGGATCTGAACCTGGGTCTCTGAGTTTACGTGTAGTACTCATTTCACTTTTTCCACCATGATGCTGATTTTTATTTATTTTTAGCAAGACAATACATCCCATCCTCTCATATAGCCTCCATGTTTGTTTGTTTGTTTTCTCTCATTGCCTACATCAGTAGTAACTGCCTACCTGATGGTAACTTGTCACACCAAAACCAACTGAGAACTTCATGGGGACAATGGCGATACCTTTCTTTTTCCAATAATTCTTTGAATTAAAATCTTCCACTTTTGCTTTCCTGGTGTGATAGGAAGACTTGTCCAGGCACTCATTCCAACATCTTATCAGCTTGTCAGGACTGTATGCTTGCTTATAGATAGTTTTGTCAACTCGTTTGTACATATTTTTCTCACGAATCTGAAATGTGGTGAAACTGGATTAACATATACCATTGAGACAGAGATAACATCAAGTCAATCAATCAACATCTGGTAAGCCAGGTACTGTGTTAAGTACTTCGAATAGAAAGAAAAAGTGAAAACAGAGAAAAAGAGACACTGGGACAATTTCCCAACTAGATCACTAACTTTTTGAAGGCTATGCTATTCCTTATCATGCAACTCCTAATTGTTACTAAAGTGGTATGATTGGGGTTTTATCCCAGGGTACTAAATTTAGAAGATGCCAGAGATATTTATGGCTTTTAACGGCATAGAAAAAGCAGAGCTTAGCATCTAGTTAGCAAGAATAATTGACTAAAAGAGGAAGCTACTAGATGGTGGCCTGGGATGAACTTCCTTTCTCTGATTCCACCTGGTGCTTTCTCAGCAGTGGCCTCATGAGGCCTTTGTCTTCCACACACAGAGTGGTATATTAACCTCCCCACTTCACTAAGGGCACTTTTGTGCCAATTGCCTCCAGGTATGGTACTTGTCTCAGGTTAAAAAATTCCAGATTATGGCTTAGTTGCCCCTTCTCCCCCACCTCCCTAGTACCTCTACTTCAATTAAAGTTGAAGTGACCTTGAGTACTTGAAGACTGTGCCAGTAGGGTGCCAGCTCTGGTTGTCCTTACCAAACTGGGAAGGCTTTAAATGTGGGATTGGTGATGGACTTCATGTTCGTCATACTAGGACTAGACGACTTAAGTATAGAGAGACACCTCTCAGAAGGCTGGCCATAAGGTGATGATTTCTTTTTTCAATTCAAATCAACAAACATTTATTAGGCGTGTGCCAGGCACTGTGCTAAGTGCTGGGGATACAAATAAGAAAAAGACAGTCCTGCTCTCAAGAAGCTTACAGTCTAATGGAGGAAGACAACATGGAAAAGGAAGCTGGACCCAGCCTGGAAATATCTTGTTCCGTGGAATTGAAACCAGGCAGAGCAATAGATGTAAAACAAAGTGACCTGGATTTCTACCTGCACTCTACAAAGGAAGGCTATGGAGGGGCTGCAGTGTGTCAGTGAAAGGAGTGCCCACACTGATGAAAGTCAGTGATCTTTTACAGTAATCAAGAAAAAATCCACATCATACTTTGTGAGTGTTTACAAAATGCTCTGGTTGAATAAATGAGTGAGTGACGGTCATAAGCACATGCATATAGGATCCAAAAAGTGAACTTCTTATCCTGTTAATGTAGTTTTCTGATTCCCTTTCCACCGGAAGTAGAAAGTAGTGAGGAAAGGCATGGAGCTGTGGGAAGAAGACTCAGTGACTTCTTTTTTCTCCTTCTATAGCTATGGCATTGAACTTGAAATTGTAATAATTACGCCCTGTCATGGTCTAGGGGCCCTTTGAATCTTCTTGACAAAGTATGAACTCTTTGAAAAAATGAACTTGTCTTGCTACCCCATTAATTTAGACCTTTGTTCTGGCAATGACAACATACAAATGATTACATTCTCTACTATGGAGTTACCAGAGCCATGTGGACCAAGGGCTTGAAGTTCAATCAGCTAAACCATACCTTAGGCTTTCCCTTTAAAAAAAAAAAGGTGCTCGAGGGAGAGGAAACAGAGAAATGCAGAGAAGCAAAATAAGTGCATCCATCACTGAAAAGATTCAAGATTGAATCTGGGTCTATATTAGTGGTAGATCTAGTAATGGGCCATATATCACATTGATAATAATAACTGACCTTTGGAGAGGTCAGAAGCATATCTTCACTGGCATTCACCAGGAACAGATATGCTCCTTCCTCTTTGTATAGATTCATGTATGTATCCTGAGTATTACATTGGTAGTCACTTAGTTAATTTGTTCTACTGACAATGACGTGTGATATAGATAATTCTTAATACCAAATAATACATTTTAACAATTTACATCTAAATATGTCTGTGTTATGCTCTGTGGGATTGTAGCATATTAAGCAGAGTACCAAAGTCCCACTGAGATTGAAGAAGGAGATGGGAAGCTCTATCACCATTGGACATCATTTTAGCACTTTGCTTAACTCCTAGCTCCTCCCCACTTGAAAAATTACAGAATTACTTCTCAGTGAGGATCATATTTCTCTGCATCCTTCAGTCAGTTGTGTGACCTTGAAGGTATGGCCTGTTTTGTGAAAGCCTGTCAGTTATGGTCTCTTATTTTCATAAAAAAATACATTCAATTTATATCTATCTATGTATATAGATCATTCTCATCAAAATTTTATAGAGATGAAAAAGTAGACACATGGATTGGGAGTTAATGATATCTACTAGATTATATTTTTTTAGTAATAATAATATAATAACATCTAGCATTTATATGGGGCAGTTAGCTGGCTTGGTGGATAGAATGCCAGGCCTGGAGTCAGGAAGACTTCACTCTCTGAGTTCAAATCTGGCCTCAGACACTTACTAGCTGTGTGACCCTGGGCAAGTCACTTAACCTTGTTTGCCTCAGTTTCCTCATCTGTAAAATGAGCTGGAGAAGGAAATGGCAAACCACTCCATTATCTTTGCCAAGAAAACCCCAAATGGGGTCACAAAGAGTCAGACATGAAAAAGGATTAAACAGCAAAACATTTATATAGCACTTTAAAGTTTGCAAAGCACTTTATAAATATTATCATTTCTGGTACTATCATACTTGATGCTCATAGCAACCCTGGGAGGTATTTGCTATTATTATCTCTGTTTTATAGAGAAGTAAACTGAGGCAAACAGAGATTAGATGACTTGCTCAGTGTCATGTAACTACCAAGTGTCTGAGGTAGGATTCAAATTCAGGTCCCCTCACTCCAAATCCAGCACTCTATCAAGCGAAGTACTCTTTTTACAATGCCATGCTTACTCTTTGGAATTTTTTAGCTGAATCACATTGAACTAGTGCACTTAAGGTGTGCAAATTCCCTTTACATACACGATTTCATTTAAGGCTCATAATGACTCTGTGAGGTGGGTACTAGAAATATTTCATCACATTTTACAGATGAGGAAACTGAGGCACAGTTATGTTAAATGACCTGCCCATGTCACCTAATAAGTGGTAAAGGTGGGATTTTAGCTTACATCTTCCTGATTCCAGGTGCAATATTCTTTTTACCATGTTACGCTTCCTCTTTGGAGTTTTTCCCCAATTGTTTAATATTTTCTCCTCTTTTAGGTCCCTTGAGAGTCAATCCATCAATCTTTTCAAAATTACATTGCTTCTAGCACAAATTTCTTCTTTATATACTTGGTCTGGTCCAACTGTTCTGTTCCTTGTCTATAGCACCTTTTCGTATTGGAGAATAGGATGATAAGAGTTCAAAAATTGTGATTCCACTAGTCTTTACTTCACTAAAATTACTTCTAAAAATTATAAAATACCAAGTTTTTAAAAGTTTTTTTTTAAACATAAAATAGTGAATGTGGTATTTGGGAATGTAATAAGTATAATTCTTGGTCCGTGTTGCAGGCTGTTCCAGAAAGTACCAATAGGACACTCAATGATAAGCAGTACAGTAATTCTCAAATGCAAGTTCTGCCTATAGAAGATTGAAGTCTATTTCTAATTCAAAGAAGAAAAGAAAGAAATACGGAAGAAAAAGGCAGCATCTCGTACTCGTCAGACAATTCACATTTTTGAAATCCTGCAGAGCCAATATCCGAAGGTAGAGATGTAAATGATAAGAGCTCTGCACTGGTCTGCTTTACAAAGCAAGCGGCCCCCTTTGGACTTGAGGCTTTAAAGGAACTTTCCAATGTTGCAGGATGTAGGACATCTTTGGAGGCTGTTCCCAGAATGCGGGCCAGGGATTCTGGGAAGTAGTTTCTTCTTGCCACACGGCAGATTGGTCTTAGCACAATACAGTCTCCTGATTCCTTGTGTTTATCTCCTGCTATGCTCAGCACGTAGGAGAAACTGGTCTTCAGAAAAATAAAAAGCAACAAAATAAAACAAAACCTTGACCTAAGTCAAGAAACAAATGAACATGTAAAAGGTAAAGAAACTTGTCTTGATTCAAGAAAATTCAGCTTTTAGAAGTCTGTGGACGATGATATGGAAAAAAAAAAGCAAAAACACCTGATCACTTAGAAAATGAGACTTGTCAGATCTAATTCCATGTGGCAAAAGTTATATCTGTCTCTCTTACTTCCTTCAGGGGTAGGGAACCTGTGGCCTCGAGGCCACATGTGGCCCTCAAGTGTGGCATTTTGACTGAATCCAAACTTCACAGAACAAATCCCCTTAATAAAAGGATTTGTTCTGTAAAACTTGGACTCAGTCAAAAAGCCGCTCCCAAGGACATGTGGCCTCAAGGCTGCAGGTTCCGCACCCCTGTGTTAGATTCTTTCCTA